TGATTTTTGGCAAATGAAGTAGACTTAATATGTGCGGAAGTTCTAAACCCGATAGGTTTATTTTTGGCAAATAAAGTACGAAAAATAAAACATGAAACATATACCACAATAACACAAATATTTATATGGTTCACCTCAAAAGGGCTACATCTATGGGCACGATAAACTGAAATCTATTATACCAATGAAATTTACACCAAAGATTTTGGAACAAATCTAGACAAAAACTCAGTCAGCAAATCCTTGTAAACCACTCTCTCTTCATTCTTTTTACTTTTGACAACTATTGCGGACAACACCAGATAGAGACCCCTCTCCCTTCCGTCTGTTTATTTCTGACAACCATTGTCAACAATGGCAGATAGCAACCCGAGAGCAAAGAGAAACTGACTTTCTCTCTAACTAAAAGGGGAAACAACCCAAAATATCTATGAGAAACGCTTCTCTACAAGAAACAAACATCTTAATCTTTGGAGTCTACAAGAGGTTATCATAATGTTTCTCTCAATAAGAAGCTCTCTTCTCTTTAAGAGAAAATCTTGCACATGTTTCTTTCAATAAGAAACTCTCTTCTCTTTAAGAGGAAATCTTGCGTCTTATGCATATGAGGCTTTGCCCCTCTTTCTCTTGAGGAACTCACCTTTTCCATATGGTAACCCAAATTGGGCACACAAATTTTTTGCACTTTCATCCCATATATATATGGTTAGAAGGCCATACTAAATAGGAAACTTCCTATAGATCTTACGTATATCTAAAAAACTAAGAGATATAACAAAGAGTTCTAATCTTTTTAGATTTTTATTTCTTTTAGGAAAATGATCAATATTAATCTCAATCCCACATAATATGAGATTTCTTTATGTAGGTGATTTTGGATAGCATCAAATCCAACAATCTTCACATTGATATCAAAATGATGAGATCTTCCTCACTTCGTCCAACGCCTGCCCCGATAGCAAAAATGCATTAGCTTACGACCTTATCGTTTCTTCTTCTTGAACCAGGCATTTTTCAACTTGGACTTCGGGTTATGCTTAGTGTTGTGAAGTTTGAAGGCCTTCTTCGCCTTTTTCTTCTTTGTAGGAACAAGTGAGCGGCGATGCTTCTTCGACATCTCCGCTGCAGACAAACGACGACAACAGGTGAGAGAAGTGAGAGAAAGAGAGATGGTCGTAAGTTGATGCATTTTTGCTATTGGGGCAGGTGTTAGACGAAGTGAGGATGATCTCATCAAACATCAAAGCATCACATTTCATTTTTACTTTCTGATTTCTAAGATAATGACTTAGTAATTTTTGGATTTGATTCCTTTTTTTGTTTTAGTAAGTGATGCATTGTTGTTTGATGAGATCATCCTCACTTTGTCTAATGCCTGCCCCGATAGCGAAAATGCATTAGCTTACGACCATCTCTCCTTCTCTCACTTCTCTCACTTGTTGTCGCTGTCTGTCTGCAGAGGAGATGTCGAAGAAGCATCGCCACTCATTTTTTCATACGAAGAAGAAGAAGGCAAAGAAGGCCTTCGGACTTCGCTGCTCTAAGCATAACTCGAAGTCCAAGTTGAAGAATGCCTGGTTCAAGAAGCTTATCGGGGCAGGCGTTAGACGAAGTGAGGATGATCTCATCATTTTGATATCAAGGTGGAAATTGTTGCTATCCAAAATCACCCATATAAAGAAATCCCATTTCATGTGGGATTGAGATTAATATTGATCAGTTTCTTAAAGGAAATAGAAATCCAAAAAGATTAAAACTCTTAGATATATCTCTTAGTTTTTGAGATATATGTAAGATCTATAGGAAGTTTCCTATTTAGTATGGACTCTTAACCTTATATATATGGGATGAAAGTACAAAGAATTTGTGTGCCCTATTTAGGTCACCGTACGGAAAAGGTGAATTCCTCTAGAGAGAGAGAGAGGGACAGAGCCTCCTGTGCATAAGATGCAAGATTTCCTCTTAGAGAGAAGAAAGCTTCTTATAGAGAGAAACATTGTGATAGCCTCTTGTATACTTTAAAGATTGAGAGGCTTGTTTCTTGTAGAAAAATGGTTCTTATAGAGATTTTGGGTTGTTTTTTTTTTTAGTTAGAGAGAAAGTGAGTTTCTCATTGCTCTTGCGTCTCTATCTGGTATTGTCGATAATGGTTATCAGAAGTAAAGAGAAGAAAGGGGGAGTGGTTTAAAATGGTTTGCCTGACTTTGTTTTTGTCTAGGTTTGTTTCAAAATCTTTGATGTAACTTTCATTGGTATATTGGATTTCAGTTTGCCGTACCCGTGGATGTAGCCCTTTTGGGGTGACCACGTAAATATTTGTGTTATTGTGGTATGTGTTTTATATTTTATTTCTCGTACTTTATGTGCCAAAAATCAACCCAAAGGGTCTAGAGCTTCTGCACACATCAGAGAGTGTGTGAAAAATTTTGGGTCATACAAATACCACATACATGGTTTTCTAGAAGTGTGATTTTATTCTATTATAATGGCATAATGACATGATATCATTTTCCTATATATATATATATATAGGGAATTTGGTACTTTTTTGTTACTTTAATTATGGATTATCTGAACTATTAATGTTCAAATTCCTACTTGGTCAAATTTTTTCTTTTTCAAATTTTTAATACTCTTCAATGAGGTACTGAATTTTTCATCGGTGACATTCCTTTGCTTTGTCCTTTTTCTTTTGTGGCCATTTTCCTTATTCATTGATGTTGTGTTCTTCTCCTTTGTGCATAGGAACTGCTAATTTTATTTTGCATTATTCTGGCACAAATGGGTGTGGTATAACATGCTTTTTTTATCAGTGTTTTTCATTCTTTTCCCTTGGTGTTTATCTTGTTAAATGGAATCATTCCATGTTTCAAGGCTTTTCTTTTTTCTTATCAGAAAAGGCTTTTCTTTTGCTTTTCATTATTTTTCTCTTATCATCTGAGAATGAAATTACTGATGCTAGTCATAATGACACAAACATACACATGAACATACCCACACAGCAGCCTATCACACACAGTTTCTATGTTTCCGTGAATATGTTGTTTCGGAAAAGAAGGATGATGCATGAATTTTATTTTCTTTATCTTTTGTATGTTCTATAATTTTAAATGATTACTGAGATTACTGCATTGCACTCTGAAATTATCATTGCATATCATTCTCAAGAGTTTGGGAGATATAGTGTTCTTATCTTAATAAGTTTATTAGGAACAGAAAGAAAGACAGCGACCTGGTGGCCACCCTACCCTCTCTGCCAATCCCTCTATCTCCTAGGATTGATGATGTGCATCTTGTGGGCACTTGAAATTCCCAGCTTACCTACATGACTGATATCCAAATTCACGTTTTTTGGTCATAAAAGATATAATGGGTCTTTCCTCGATAGGTTTCCATTTTTTGGTCTAATTTTTATGTTTACTTTTTGCTTGTGAGTTAGGAATTACTGGCAATTCGTGTAATATTTATAATGTTCATAGATCTGAATAGGGTTGTCTCGTTCAATGACATATTTTTAATAGCTTTTCCTTTTGTCCCCTTTTCTTCTTTGAGTATCTTACGTGGTTCTTGCGGATAAGAATTGCTGATGTATTTATTTTTTATCGTAACAAAATAGTTTGGGTCTTCATTGCCAAGTCTTGAGTTCTCCTAGGAACTATGTTAACTTGAAATTGATTTTTAAGAACCCTTCCAATAATATCTAAGATTTTTATCTGCATGGATTTCATATGCTTCTGATCTGCATTTTACCCTTGAGTTTTGTACTCATATTTATTAGTTCAAAAAAATTCAAAACCTCAAATGCCCTTGGAATTGCATTCCTTAAAATGGTATTAATTCATGACATTGCTTTAGATGTTATCTATTTGTTTCCCCCCCTTACCCTATGGCTTGTAATTTCCAGGTAGCTTGTTTAACTTAGAATGGTTGGTTTTGTATGTCCTGAAATATGCCATATAACCATTTGAATGAAGTATGTCTTATTTCCCAAATTTGATGATGGTAGCAGGTTTTGGTTGTTAGGCAAGACCTGAAGATGGGAGCGGGAAAAATTGCCTCCCAATGTGCTCGTAAGATGTTGAGACCTTTTTTTTACTTTTCCTATGAAATATATTGCCCTTCTCATTTCTTTGCATGTATGCCGCTATGGTGGTTGACTCTTAAATTCTCGATGCGTATTTTTGTATATAATCTACAGATCTTGCAGTGTAAATGCCAATTTGATTGGTATGAATAATTGGATAATTTATTTTAATAAAGAGAACTTGGATTGTACTCCCCCCCCCCCCCTACCCCCCTCCCCCCAAAAAAAAAAAAACGAACTTGGCTTCTTGGGTTGTTGCTGTTTGGATTGGTCAGTTTAATTTTTGAAGCAAAAAGAAAAAACAAGAAAATGTCATGTGTTGTTACGTGTCCTATTTGAGTGGACCAGATTTGGCACAGAGGTTGAAAATTTTGATAGTTGAACTCTTCATTTATAAAAAGTTAATAAGAAAAGTCATTTTTAATGCTGTAAATGGATTTATGGTTGTCAAATGGAACTTAATTCATGCTTGGGTAAATTTAAGGTACCTCGTAATTTTTTTTTTTCAAGGTACGTAGTAATGTCATTTAAGGCATAAATGTTTTTGAGATACCAGTCACAAAGGGAAAGTATGCTGTAGTGTAATGGACTGTGAAAAAAACCATAGTTGATTGGGTCATCATCTTTAGTTGGAATGATGCTCGATGATGGAGAGTGCGACTCGCCAGAACATGAAATGAACCCAATGATTCTCAGTGTATCGTTGTCTATATATCACCATTCATCATTTCAGTGGGTTGGCCTCTGGTTTTTTCATGCTCCATTGGGTTATAGTGTACTTCCCAGAGAAAGAAAATGAAAAATGTTGTCTTTCACATTTTTGAGCATTTTTCCATTATATGATGCTTTATTTGATGTTTTACCATGGAAATGGCTATTTATGGGTCTAATTTGCTTCTCTGAAATTGCAGATGCAGCAACTGGCTTGTATGCAGAACTAATGAGGAGGTAATTTCTTGATCTCCCCTGCATGTTGCCAATTGCACCGCTTTTCATTATACAAAAATATCCATTTCTCTGCAACTGCTATATTCCTGAGATTATTTTTCAAATTCATATGTAATTCTAAGTTATAATTTGTCCACTTTTTGTTTTTCTGGGCTGTCATCTTTCTTAATGTGTTCACACAAAATATTTATTTTTTGACTCTATATCTTTTATATATGTATGTTTAAGTGTATATACTTGTACTTGTCTGATCTGTATATGCAGAATGGTCTATTTGTACGTTTAGATGTTTGTGCTTTGTAGAGATGTTTTTGCATGAGCAGATAGCATGCATGCATTATGCTTTGCTCATCAGCACATATTCTTGGTGGCATCCTTCCTGGATGTGATTAAACTTATTTATTGTGCAAATTCATTTTATTGATTGTTTATGGTTCAATTGAGGGACTTCCTGGATTGAGAGGGCAACATTATTGATTCTGAATTTTCAAATGTTGTAATTTATTCAGTTGATAACCTATTTAAGGAAATTCCACCTTCTTTGATGCATTTCACATTATTTATTGATTATAATAATCAGACTTATTCTACTTCTTGTGGTTTGGACAATAAGTCAACTGCTCAATATTAAGGATATTACTTAATTAAAGGAAAAAATATCAAGGATTCTACTAGTTGAATTATGCTTATTTATTTTTTGCCTCAAATCAGGCCTGAGAAAATGCATCACTTGGTCTATTTTGTTGCTTTTGATGAGCTGTTTGAAATAGAGTTGTTTCATATCATTGTAGAATTTGTTTGATAGTTTGCTAATTTGTATGTTTATATCAGTCTGGATATACTTCTGGTTAATATGGTCTGCATTTAATATGAAATGAATGGAGTATGAATTTCCTGGATTAGTTCTGTTGGAGCTCTTGTTGCACCAGTTTTCTGGAACCAGCCTTATTTCTTTCTGCTAGTAATGTTAGGGAGATCTTGTTCTGTGTTAGATACAAAGAACATGCAATTTCCTACATAGTATTCCAAACATAGGGACCATAAATTAAGAGAGACATGAGGGGAATAAAGCTGATTTCCTAGCATTGGTGTACCTCATTCAATCTGTTCCCCATGTCTTTTATTTTGATTATTTCTTATATTACTATTTCTCTTTTGTATGGACTTTCTTATATATGCTAAGAACTTCAGTTTTGGCTGTAATAATAAGCCATTGATATGTACTTATTTTATCCTATTACATCCCTCTCTCTTTACTGGTAGTGACACCGATAAAATGTTATTTATTTGAAGAATCTAATAAGACCTTGTTTCTTGCAGTCATCGATCCCTTTTGAGTCAATGGGAGCAGTGTGGCCAACCCAAGATAGTTGTCACATGCAAGAACCAACAAGAAATGTAAGAAGATGGTTTTGTTAGAATGCTCCCTTTTATTCTTTACACAAATTCTCTTCACTGCTATGGAGAAATATTTATCATATCAAATTTGAATTTGTATATTTTTTAAACACAAGAAAGAAAAATAAGTTTAACTCCGAGAATTTGGTCTATACATGTTGCATCATTTTTCTTCATATTGGTGCGCACTCTTTACTCCTAACTCAGGAATAAATTGAGGGATGCAGCTGATAATATTGGACTTCCCACATTCATAGTAGCTGATGCAGGACGTACTCAGGTACTTGGGTTTCTCACCTCTAAAGATTTCTATGATGATTGCATGTTTTCATTGTTTTCCTGATAAATTGATTGCTTTGATGATTGATATGAATAATAAGGATAATAAAACTCATTTAAACTTCCACACACCAATTATGCCTTGCATATGTTGCTCATATAGCATTGTTTTTTAATGTGTTTCTTTCATTTTTCTCCGAGTGGGTGACTTTTAAGAATGTGTTTTGAACCCAGGAACAAACACCCTACTGACCGAGAGTTCTGTTTCTCTTGTAACACTCTTCTCTTCTCACTTGGTAGAGTTTTTCTGTAATTGCTGATAAAAAATGCATATAGATAGAATTTGATCATCCCTTGAATTTGACAAGGTAATTGTTTTAAAATTTTTTGAGTCTTGGACTGGGTTTTGCTCATTCAAAAGGTATCGACTTGTGAACAAATATGGTATATATATATATATATATATATATATATATATATATATATATAGTAAATAGTAGTAGGTAGTAGTACCCACTACGCTACTACATACGTAGTAAAAGTA